GGGGACATTTCCCTAACATGCCACCGAGCTTCTTGAGTGGAATTGAAGGGTGATAAGAGTTTCTATTTTTCTAACTAGTTTGTTATCTGCTTCATATTAAAGTAATTTTTGATAGCTCCACTGTGCTCTAATTTTCCAAATTTATTGTCTTAATTTCTTCTGCTAATGACAGATTTTAAATGAGTTTAATAGCACAGTCATTTCGGAGGCGTCATTAATTTTCCTATTTCTCTTCCCTGGTGGATAGGCTCATTTTTCCTCCATTCTTCCTTTTCATAGCTTCCAAACACAGTGGAAGTATTCCACTAGTACCTCCTCTAGTACCTCCTTGCTGTGGACAGTGAAAACGCCAGGCTCAGAGCCAGGAGCCAGAAATGCAATCACAGCAGATCTCGGGCCAGTGTGGAGGAACTGGTGGAGGCACTGACCTTTTCTGGGGGCAGACGTTGGAATGGTTATAACTTTGAATCTCAGAAAAGGAGCCCCCATGAAGCTGTAACTCAGATCTCTGGGGTGGGCCCTGGGGGCTGCAGCAGGTGCAGGAGGGGAGGTGGGATGCAATGTGGCCTCTCTTGATTGAATTCAGCCACTGCCACATGAAGGTCCCACTGTGCTCAGGTCCTGCTCCAGCCGTGAAGCCTCTCTCGAGTGCTCCCTTTTGGCAGAAACTAGCAGGGAGCAGCTGGCAAGAAAGACGTGGGATTTGTCGGCCAGGTAGGGTCTAGAAGGGTGGCTTTGGAGCAGAGAGATAAGAGCTTAACAACCGGCACAGGATTCATTACTAAGGTTGCACACTGGTGGTCTAGAAGCCACTTTTGGCCCATATACATGTCTTGTGTGTCCTTCAGCAGTTCAATCAAACATTTGTGCCTGGATTTTTATTCTGAATATCTTCTTCCTGGGAAATTCACAGAATTTCATCTTTTATGATTTACATTTAAAAAAAAATAAATGAATGAGAAGGCAGCTTGGGGATTGTCTCAGTTCAGCCATCAGTTTACAAATGAGGTGGTTAAGACCCTCAGAAGGTCTTAACCAGAAGGTGAGAGGTTTATCTCCTAAATCACACATCTAGTGAATAAGGGCTTGGCTTCCAAGGCCAGGCACCCTGGTGTGGTCAGAGGAGGACAGCTGTGCTCTACCTGACCTCTTACTGCTCCCGCTGTGGCTCCTAGGCTAGTAGCAGCAGCCTCACCTGTAAGCTTGTTAGAGCTACAGGCTCTCAGGGCCCAGCCCAGATCTGCTGAATCAGAAAATTATTTTAGCAAGATCCCCATGTGATTCAGGTAGACAGTTAATTTTGAGACTTGCTGAAGATAGCTTTATTAAAGTAAAAGAAAACAAACTTTTATTGGATGTTAGTGTTTGACTCCAGGGGATGGGATATAGGTTGGTTCTTGGCAAATCTCTGGAGCACTCCTCTAACTCCCATCCCCCGTCTCTTTTCCCAATTCATAGGTCCACACACATGCATGCAAATACCCAGGTGTGCAGGCACAGCCACCCACGTACACACGTTCATGCTCTCTCTGTCATGCACACATACATACAGAGCTGTTTATGATCTGGCCTCTGTTCTATGCTCCACCCTGAACCCCTCTGCAGGCTTCCCACATGAACTCTGCTCTACTCACACCAGACTGCCTGCAGGGAGTTGCCAACCATATCAGACTTTCTTTTTTGCCTCCTGTTTTTTGCACTTGCTGTCTTTAATGCACTTTCCCAATCACCAAATGGAAATTGGACTGAGCTCTGTTTGTCTTGCAAGGACAGCTCAATGTCTTCCTCTGGGAAGCCTTCTCAGACCCAGTGAAGAGTATCTAAGCTTTGTTTCTTCTCTGTGTTTTAATAATACCTAACCCATGCCTTCCTTAGAGCACTTTTTCCACACTCAGAGATAATCATGCATTTTACTGTTTATCTCCTGAAAAGGAAGGAACCACTCCTCACTTAGCAAATGGTCCTGGGATGAGCAAATGAAGAAAGAATGAACTAATGTACAGCTGAGAAATCTGAGGGGTAAAGTGTGGTAATTACAGCATTGTGTTGGTTTTTTGAGAAGATAAACAAAATTGACAAACTTTTAGCTGGATTAAGAAAGAAAAAGAGAGAAGGCTCAAGTAAAATCAAAAATGAAGGGGAGACATTACCCCTGATAGCACAGAAATACAAAGGCTCATGAGCCTACTATGAACTGTTATACCCAATCAATTGGGTAACTAGAAGAGTGGATAAATTTCTAGAAACATATAATTTATAAAGACTGTATTAAGAAGAAATAGAAAATCTAAACAGACCAATAATGAGTAAAGAGATTGAATCAGTAATCAAAAACCTGTGAATGAAGAAAATCCCAGGACTAATGACTTTACTGGTGAATTCAGCCAAACTTTTTTTTTTGTAGTTTTTGGCCAGAGCTGGGTTTGAACCCACCACCTCTAGTATATGGGGCCAGCGCCCTACTCCTTTGAGCCACAGGCGCCATCCTCAGTCAAACATTTAAAGAAGAATTAACATCCAATCTTTCTTAGACTCTGCCTAAAATTTGAAAAGGAGAGAATATTTTCAAGCTTGTTTTTACAAGGCCAGCATGACTCTGATAACAGAGCCAGACAAGGACACTCCGAGGAAAGAAAACTATAGGCCAATATCCCTGATAAAAATAAAAAAAAATTGTCAGGAAAATATTAGCAAATGAAATTTAATGGCACCTTAAAAGCATTATAATTGTGATTACATGGGACTTATCCCCAGGATGCAAGGATGTTTCAACATATGCAAATCAGTATATGACATACTGCATAGCAGAATGAAGGCTGAAAATCATATGATCATCTCAATCGATACAGAAAAAGAATTTGACAAAATTCAACATCCTTTCCTGATAAAAACTCTTAATGAACTAGGTATAGAAGGAGTGTACCCCAACATAATATAATAATCCCACCCCTGACATCATGCTCAATGGTCAAAAGGTGAAAGCTAAGATCAGGGATTGGACAGGGATACTCACTCTCACCACTCTGTCCAGCCTAGTACTGAATGTCCTAGCCAGAGCAATCATAAAAAAAAAAAAAGAAAGAAAGAAAAAGGATTCAAGTCAGAAAAGAAGACATAAAATTGTCTCTGTTTGCAGATGACATCTTATATCTAGAAGACCCACCAAAAAACTGTTAGAGGTAATAAATGAGGTCAGTAAAGTTGCAGGATTAAATACCAACATTAAAAAATCAGTAGCATTTCTATATGCTGACAATAAACTCCCTGAAACAGAAATCGAGAAAACAATCCCATGTACAATAACTTAAAAATACTTAGGAATTTCACAAGGAAGGAATTTCACTTCACAAGGAAGTGAAAGATCTATCCACTGACAATCATGAGACATTGATGAATAACCTGAAGAAGATACACATGAGTGGGAAGATATTCCATGTTTATGGATAGGAAGAATGAATATTGTTAAAATGTTCATACTACCCAAATTGTTCTACAGATTCAATGCAACTCCTTCAAATTAGAATGGTATTTTTTGTAGAAATGGAAAAAAGATCCAAAAATTCATATGGAACCACAAAAGATTTGAATAGCCAAAGCAATCTCGAGTGAAAAGCACAAAGCTGACGGCATTGCAATACCTGATTTCAAATATACTACAAAGCTGTAGTAATTTTTAAAAGCACAATACTGTCATGAAAACAGACATGTAGACCAATGCAACAAAATAGAAATAAAGTCTCACATTTGTGGCTGATTTTCAACAAAAGTGCCAAGAGAATACAATGTGGGGTGGGGGAATGTCTCCAATAAACGGTGCTGGGAAAACTGGATAGCAACGTGCAGAAGAATGAGAGTAGACCCTTACCTCACACCAGTAACAAATTGTGCTACATCCTCCTCAGAAGTTAGCATATTGGAAAAACGTGGCTGAATAGTGTACCAGGGTGTACAAATGCCACAGCTTGTTAATCATTCCTGGGTTGGTGGGCATTTGGGCTGTTTCCAGGTTTCAGTGATCGTAAATTGAGCTGTGATAAACAGTCTAGTGTAAATGTCCTTATGATAAAAGGATTTTTTTTTCTGCTGGGTAGATGCCTAGTAATGGGATGGCAGGATCGAAAGGGAGGTCTAATTTGAGTTCTTTGAGGATTCTTCATACTTCCTTCCAAAAGGTTGTAAAGCATCACAAGAATGGAGAAGCAAGAATCCAATGTACTCAATTCTAATATGAAGGCAGTAGATGCGTTAATGCAAGGTGGGGGATAGGGGAATGAGGGAGTGGGGAGAGGGGAGGACAGAGCAGATGGGGGTCACAGAGTATCACACACCTCTCGGGGCGGAACACAATTATAAGAGGGACTTTATCTAAAAAATACAATCAGTGTAACCTAATTATTTGTCCCCTCAGTGAATCCCAAATAATAATAATGATGATGATAATAACAATAAAAAGAAGTTAGAATATTCATTATGGCTGGAAAAAAGTCCTTCTTGGCTGGCAATCAGACAGCCTTCCTTGTTGCAATCGCTGTTTTTCATTTGCACCACGTTCTTGCTGCCCAACCTTTCCCGTACCTGCTTTGCCACACTTTACCCTGGAAATTCTGTCCTTAAACATAATCCCTCAAGTGAGGGCTTTTGCAGCGCCAACACTTTTCTTGCTTAAAGGTAAAATTACAGCATTTCCCTTGTGTGCAGATTCTGCATCTAAAGGAGCAATGTTAAGAAGGTGCATCTACCCCAGTTTCGTTGCATCTCTGTTGGTCCGTGTACGTATGTGTAAATCTGATGAGGCTATTAAAAAAATAACATTGGTAAGAAGTCACATACCTATAGCACTTCTAATTTGCTAGGAGCGTCTGACCTCATTCCACCTTTCATGTCTGTAACATGGAATGTCTAGGATATGTGAAAATGAGTGTTGGACTTTGTAAACATGGGATGGTTTTTAACCTTTTGTCTCCTCTCTCCATTCTCTCTCCACTGTTCCCTCTTCTCAGGGCTGATAGTCTACTTGGGAATGATGGCAGGAGCCTTCATCTTGGGTGGCCTGGCGGATAAACTGGGGAGGAAGAGAGTTCTCAGCATGTCGCTGGCCATCAATGCCTCCTTTGCCTCCCTGTCCTCCTTTGTTCAGGGATACGGGGCCTTCCTCTTCTGCCGGCTCATCTCTGGCATAGGGTATGTACTCAGACAGCTGGCTGCGGACCTTCCTGGACCAGTGGCTCATCCATTCTGGGGCTGTAGCTCTGCGTGGTACCTCGAGAAACCCTTGGACTGAGTTCTTTTTAAATTTTGTTTTTTGACTTTCAAGATACTGTATTAAAGTTGAAGCTTAAAAAAATAAAGTTGAAACATAGAAAGGGTTAGAGTTAGGGTTAGGCTCTAAATGAGTGTATAAAGTCAAAATAATCTGAGACTGCTTCCCACATGTGGAGAGGCACCGCCTGGCTAGTCTCTCACATTCGCTGGGTTGTTTCACCACAGAGCAGAAGGGTGGGGTATGAGGCAACCTGGTCTCCGCTGTAGCTTTCTGTGTGTGCGTGTGTATAACTTGATTCTTTCTCTCTGCAGTATTGGGGGTGCCCTGCCGATTGTTTTTGCCTATTTCTCTGAATTCTTGTCTCGGGAGAAGCGAGGAGAGCACCTCAGCTGGCTGGGCATCTTCTGGATGACGGGAGGCATCTACGCGTCCGCCATGGCCTGGAGCATCATCCCACACTACGGTGGGTAACGTTTCCATAGCGCCCAGCAACTCCTTGGGTCCTCGGGCTTCTCCTGCGGACTCACACACGGTTCCTGCACGTGACCTTGATCTCTCTAAAGGACTTCTAACATTGCACACACGCTGTTAGCTTCCATACATGTCTTTTTGGGAAAATATAATTTGTCCCTTTTCTCTCCCCCCTTCCTCTCTTTCTCTCTCTCTCTCCCTTTCTTCTTTCCTTCCTTTTATTTGAAAGAATCTCAAGAATCTCAAAGAAGGTCTCCTCCTGCCCCTTCTCTCCCAGCAAATTAGATCTCGCCAACTGCATTTTATACTTGCTGATTTGCCCCTGGTGTGGGGTGGCATGGGGTGGAGGCCCCACGCCCCCTCGGGGGCAGTATGCTTGTAGACTTTCTACTCCCACACCTGTTGGCATTCTTGTTTGGCTGCAGAAATGCAGCAGTCCTTATAGACAATGCCATGATTTCAGCAGGATAATTGTAAATAATTGTAAAACTGTATTCTCTTGGACAAGACCTGGTAACATTAACTCTTAATATTGGTCTTGTCAAGAGTGAAGTAGGGGCTGGGTGTGGTGGCTCATGCCTGTAATCCTAGCACTCTGGGAGGCCGAGGTTGGTGGATAGCTTGGCCTCACGAGTTCAAGACTAGCCTCAGCAAAACTGAGATCCCATCTCCACTAAAAATAGACAAACTGAGGCAAGAGGATCACTTAAGCCCAAGAGTTGGAGGTTGCTGTGAGCTAGGATGCCACAGCACTCTGCCAGGGTGACAGCTTAAGACTCTTGTCTCTCTCTCTCTCTCTCACACACACACACAAAGAGTAAATTGGGGAGAAGGCATTAATTTGGAATTTGACTATGTGTTTTGAGTAGACTGTGTAATACCGTAATTATCTTTCAAGATCATTTTTGACAAATCACCAATTCTGAGTCATTCTACCATGATTCAGAATCCTGTAGCCCCCTGGGTGATAGGAGGCAACCACCCCTGAAGTTAGCCAACACTTCCCCACTTGGTCACCTTCTTATTTTAAATCTAACCCCCTCTGCTCTGTGTTCTGAACTAATGGAGGCTCCACGTATAATCTTTTTTTTTTTTTTTTGTGAGATATGGTCTCACTCTGTTGCTCAGCCTGGTATGCAGTGGTGTCATCATAGCTCACAGCAATCTCAAACTCCTGGATTCAAGAGCGCCTCCTGCCTCAACCTCCCAAGTAGCTGGGACTACATGCATACACCACCACACTTGGCTAATTTTTTAATTTTTTTGTAGAGATGAGGCCTTGCTATGCTGCCCAGACTGGTCTTGAACTCCTTAGCTCAAGTGATCCTCCTGCCTTGGCCTTCCAAAGTGCTGGGGTATGAGTCACTGCACCTGGCTGCCACATATATCTTTTTAGGAAGATGCTTTGGTGTACAGACAATACCTACTGTGTCAGTTAAGGTGATACTGGGTGCATTACCCTAATAAACTGATGACCCTGAAATCTTGGTGTTTTTTTTTTTGAGACAGAGTCTCAAGCTGTCACCTTGGGTAGAGTGCCATGGTGTCATAGCTCATAGCAACCTCCAACTCAGTCTCAAGTGATCCTCTTGCCTCAGTTTCTTTTTTTCTATTTTTAGTAGAAACAGGGTCTCACTTTTGCTCAGGCTGGTCTCAAACCCATGAGCTCAAGCAATCCACCCACCTTGGCCTCCCAGAGGATTACAGGCATGAGCCACCATGCCTGGCCTGAAATCTCAGTGGTTTTACACAATAGAAGTTTCTCACTCACTTTCTTTTCCCTGTTGCTGACGTGAGGGAAAGTGGTCAGTCCCACCTGAACCACAAGTCTGCAACATAGTGGGTGAAAAGGGACAGAGGAGTGTTGTGAGGGAAGCTGGCAACCCACAGGAGTCCCAGTGCTTAACACACACAAACACTGCTCTGTAGGGGTCTGGTTCCTAAGAGAGCAAGATAAGGATTCAGGTTGGGAGCATGTTGACCAGGATGAATGAGATGCCATGGCAGAGAGGCCACGTGGCTATCAGCTGGCCGCTGTGGGCGGACAGTGGAGCTTATGATGAAGTATTTTACCCTATTGGTATGCCTGTATGAAATCTGAGACTTTTACACTCTTTTAAAATAGAAATCTAGATGATCAGGCTTAACCGAAACAGGTGTTAGCTTTGAGAAAACCCATCCTAGAAATATGGTGGACAAGACCCAGAGTGTAACAAGAGCCCTGACTTGTTTTAAGCCTCATTTTACCAGGACCAGGTGTTTGGTCCACAGTGAACCAGACATTGATAACATTTCTCAATGTGCCTGACACGCTCATCCTCTCACAAACGCAAGTACACCCACAGAAGAGAGGTGGAGGTCTGTGTGCACCGCTGTGTGACTCATTTAATTGCTTTTGTTAAGAACGAAGGGATGGGAGGTCTTGGTACCAGAAATTTGGATGACTGACTCATCAAGAGAGAAAATTACAAAGCTCAGAATGTTTTCCTGGGAACTCACAGGCACAGCCCAGAAAAAATGGATGTTATGGAAGATTAATTCTCATTGTAGTCAGCACCACCAGCTGTTTGTGAAATCCTGACAGAGAAAAGTAGGGCAGGCTAAAAGATCAGCAAACGGAACAACCCATGCCTCTAAATTAATATTGTTCCAAATATTTGGGAGCAGCTTACCATTTAATTTTATTTAATTTAGGGCCCCAAGGATATGCCTAATGAATGTGATAAATGCAGATTATTGAAGTTGCCAGTACACACCGCAGAGGCATGAAGGAATGATGAATTTGGGAACATTTATATGTGTCATCATGAAGACAAATGTCTTTTTGAGGCAGAATCCTTTATCAACATACCTGCTTCTGCACCCTCCCTTCCCTGGTTAACCATCTGAGTTTGATTGCTGTGTAGTTTTGAGCAACTTCACTTCTGAGGATGCCAGAATACTTTTTGAACATGAACTGCAAATGTGTAAATATTACTACGGTTTTATCTTCCTCTTTCTAGTGTTATGCCCAGGAGAAAGGAAAGGCCCTTTAATTAAAATTAAAATGAGCAAACAAACCCCACTGAGATCAGAGGAGACCTTGCTGTGCAAAGGGAGATTTGATTCTGAGTGTTGGACCAAGTGTGTGTTCCGTTGGCAGGGCCGACTGTGCCCACCTGGGATCCCACTGCCTAGTTTTTTTAATTGTGCAAATAGAGTAGCAGATATCTGCAGCAACAGCAGATATGGGTCAGGAGTCCATCGCGAGCAGAACAAGTGGAGCCCACAGGAGAGTCATAAGAATTCAAGGCAGAAGCGGCTCACCGCTGGAGGTGGCCATGTGCTCATTTATTTTTTAAGCAAATGGAATAGAAATTTTATATCCAAATAATTATTACCCTCTAAAATTTATAAGTTGATATATATATTTCTATGCTTTGGTCTTTTAAGAAACACCATTTGAATTGCCTTCAGGAATACTTTGGTGGGCATGGGAAAACCAACCTATTATAAGAGCAGCTTTATTAAAAAAAAAAAAACAATTCTTTTGCTGAGCTTTGCTGTTATTTCTCCATTTTATTCAACATCACTGGCACTAAGTGTTATGTAGCTATTTCTAAAAAAAAAAAAAATCAATTCTACCCTGAAAGCAGGTGAGTTATTATGGGTTGCCAGGAGCTTTCACACATAGCAAATCCGTGGGGGTGCCATTATGTGCACCCTACCGCTGTGCAAACCCACCGACACAACATGATGGGACAAACCAGGGTTTGGAACTCTGCTCTGTGCAACTGCAAAAGCCCAGGCTCCCTCCACGGTGTTACTTAAAAGAGGAAAGTTTTCTACCCATGGAGATATTCAAAATAACGCTTGAATAATTTCCGAAAGTGAGTTTTAGCAATGCTTTGAATAATGATGGCTGAATAGAAGCTAGTTTACCTCTGCATGCGAGTGATGCTGGGCTGCATCTGAATGTAGAAGTTCAGTTTCTTATTAAAAAAAATTTACGTAGTCACATTACGGCTTAAGGTGTTTCTCAACGTGTGGTCCTGAGCCCTTTGCACTGGAGTCAGCTGGAACTGGTACTGCCCTCCAGCCTGGGAAAGGGAGATCCCTGTAAAAGCCCTGCTCTGGGCTGCCTTCCTCTGCCTGGGCCCTTTCCCATGGGGCAAGGGGTCCTGAGGCCATGACTCTCTGTCCACCTCTATCCAGGTCAGGCTCTGGGTACTCAGGACCCAGGAATTCCCATAAACTCAAGGGCTGCAATGGGAGCACCCATTCTCACCATGGCAGTGGGTGCTATAACCACACATGAGGCCCCTTTACCCTGCAGGAGGGGTTGGGGGAGAGAGAAGAAGGGAGTCCAGCACAGGTGGGTGTATTTCTGGGTCTAGGCTTCCAGCTTGTTATATGTCAAGGGAGGTAGATACAACATTTATTTATTTATTTATTTATTTTTTGAGACAAAATCTTTTTTTGTCCCCTTGAGTAGAATGCCATGGCATCATCATATTTCCAGCAACTTCAAACTCCGGGCTCAAGAGATCCTCTTGCCTCAGCCTCCTGAGTAGCTGAGTCTACAGGAATCTGCCAGGATGCCTGGCTAGTTTTCTTTCTATTTTTAGTAGAGATGGGGTCTTGCTGTTGCTCAGGTTGGAATTCCTGAGTGCAAGCTATACACCGACCTGAGCCTCCCAGAGTACTTCAATTATAGGCATGAGCCACTGTGCCTGGCTAGAATATCTTTCGTTTAGCAATTTCTTAACTTAAAATGTAATGGCTATATAGGAATATGGAATGTTGCTTCTGCGTGCATTCTTCTTCCAGGCTCTGTAAATGTCTGGCCCGGGCTGGACCTAGGGATTTGTCAGCATGCAGATTCCCAGCTCCTGTTCCAGACTTATGCTTTGGAGGTGCAGCTGGGGGAATCTGCATTTCAAGCAGCTCCCCGGGCAATGCTCTTGTGCCCCCAAGTTTGCGAGCCTCGGAGTTACTCTTCTGTAGAGGGAAGGATCATGTTCCAGAAATCCTATCACTGCTTCTTCACAGGCTGGGGCTTCAGCATGGGGACCCATTATCATTACCACAGCTGGAGAGTGTTTGTCATTGTCTGCGCTCTGCCCTGCACTGTGTCCCTGGTGGCCCTGAAGTTCATGCCAGAGAGCCCAAGATTTCTGCTTGAGGTGAGTCAGTACCTCCCTGCCAGCTTGAGCACGACCAAACAGTCACAGGAGCCCCAGCCCTAAGTCCCACATCCTCTCCTGCCTGCAGAATGCAGGTTCCCCCGGGGGGGCGGACCTGCTTCCTCATTAAACCTGACTCTCTTCCTGCTGGTGATGGTCTTGGGTCGAGGATTCCTGGATGGTCAGCGGAGGCCCAGGCGAGACAGAGCAGGGGCCTCCTGGAGGCAGTGCGGTGGTGGCCGGTGGCCCCGTGGTTCTCATCCTCCCTGGAGGTCTGGATTAGGGGGCTCTTTAGGGATGCATGCTATTTCCTATGGCCCTGCAGTGCCTATGGGACAGCTTGTTGTTGCGCCCAGGCCCTTCAGGACTGTTCGCCATGCAGGGCCTCGAGCCACCAGAAGACTGCACCTGGTGTCCTGAGCAATGGGTCCCACAAGCCTGCCACCTATAGGGGTGTCTTGTGCTGGCAGAGGTCAGACAGGGCAGGGGCTGGCACATGGGCAGCAGGACCTGGGTGCTCTTGCAGCCCAGTCTGCAGAGCCCATGTGTCTGCCTCCTTTCTGAGCTTTCTGCACAGAGGTCCTCCATGCTGAACTCCTCTGCACCCCACTGATCAGGAGGTGGAGGGGACAAGAGCTTTGCGCTCTGTTGTGTATGAGTGTCCTAGAGCTGCTGTGACAAAGTGCTACCAACTGAGAGACTCAAAGTAACAGTTTTTTTCCTCACAATTTCTGAGGTTAGAAGTCCCAACTCAGAGTAGCAGCAGGGCCACATTCCTTCTGAGGACTGCAGGGGAGAATCCTGCCTTTGGCCTCCTCCCGATTCTGGCCGCTTGCTGGCAATTTTTGCCATTCCTTGGCTTGTAGCCGCATCACTCTGACAGCAGCCTTCATCCTCCGCAGCCTCCTGTGTCCCCGTCTTTGCCCAGCTGTGTTCTTATGAAGACACGGTCCTCTTGAATGAGGGGATGTAACTAGTTATACCCTGAGCAACCCTATTTCCAAATTAAGTAAAAAACATACCTCTTTTGGTGGGGACACAATTCAGCCCATGACAGATGACAGGTTGCTTTTTGCTTCATCTCATCAGCACGGGACATGGCTCTCACCCCTGTCCCGTCAACCTCACAACTGCAGGTGGTTACTCCTGTGTGCAATAATGATAATATCTGATATTTACGACTTGAAAACACAACCTTATCATCCTTCCAAGAACAGCGGGGGGCAGGAACTTGTCCTAGTCTTTCACAAGCCTCAGAGAGCAGTGAGTCCATGTCTGGGCACCTCACCCCCCAGGTTACAGGATTCCCTGTCAGTTTGTATGATTTCCACCCTCATGAGCAGAGGTGTATTCAGAGGTGACTTTTTCTTTTCTTTTTTTT